TTGAATTTTTTAAAACTAACATCGAATTCGTAATTAGCGACCTCAAAAACCCTCACGTAACAAAATTTTGTCGAAGTCAATAACATTTTGGTATTTTGAAATATAGTGACTAAAACTTTCAAATTTTACTTCATATTTGACGCCATATTTGGTCCGCCATCTTAAAATTTTAAATTCTTAAAGGTATGCAATCTATATGCATCTATGGTTGAGAATTGAATTTTATTTACATACGTTTTATGGGTAAAAAAATTATCAAACTTGAAAAAATGAAATTTTTTTTGTGTTTTTTGAAATTAAAACCGTCATATTTAAATTTGGGTTAAACGAAATTCCTTTTTCACACCGCAGTCGAAAAAAGCACACAATTCTCAACCACAAGTACATAAAAATTTTATAGGACCTTCGAAAGCTAATGTCATATTTCAATTCTACGAAAAATTGCATGTAAAAATTATGTTTTTATATATTTTTTTGAACAAGTTGTTTTAAATTCGTCGCTGAAAACACTAAAATTGAAATTAAAAAGAAAAGCGCCCGACGGATTTTGAAATTTTTTTTTTTTTTTGGAAAATGTTCAGTGATATACCCTAAACAAGTTGCAACAAAAATGTTTGCAACATGATGGTTGAAATTGGTTCCAGGGTACCGTGGTAGATCCAGAAGTCTTATTAGAAACACTGAAACAAAATTAGAATTTGTAAGAAATCAATTTCGGCATGTAAATAAGGTTTTTTATGAGAGTGTGTGGTGAAAGTGTGAGGTCGAGGAAATGACCTTGACCAGCTAAAACAGAGAATGCTGTAGGAAATTTCCCTCAAAATGATTTTGGGCCAACCAAAAGTAAAAGGTCCGGAGTCCAGGTGTCGATGGAAATTAGATTAAACACCCCTTCGACTTGGAGTAACCGAATTATTTATTCCTTGTTGATGCCGTGGTAATGCAGTCCTTAGAAAAACAGAAATGTGCCTCGTAGTAGAAATTATTTCCTTTAATGAACTTGAATAAGAGGAGACTCGAAGTAGGCACTTGGTGTACTACTCCTCAGCCTTGGAGTATCAGAGATAATTTATTCAATGTTGGTGTAGCACTATGCAACTCGATAAGGTTTTCATCTCACAAAAATAGAAAGGTGACTTAATGTAGAAATTAACTTCTTATATAAACTTTGACTTGTACAGTGACTAGACTCAAAGAGGGCAACTAGTTAATTCGCTGATAATTTCTGGATTGTCGAATTTGGCAAGAGTGACACCCTTTGTATTAGTTTCTTACAAAGGTACAATATGTTAATGCCACCCACTTTAATTACTTTCGGGGTAAATTTGTTATTATTGATTTAATTTAGGCGCATGTGCTTAATCCCTGTATCTGTAAAGATGTGATTACCCAAAAGAGGCACTCGATCTTTCGTGTTTCACGTTCACGATTAAAATGATATTTTCTATTCAGGTCCTCTCCACTACCTTGAAAATTTGTGGACATATCAAAGCACCTACTGTCCTGTTTATTTTTCATCGTATCATCTTCGAAATTACATATTTTCAAAAATGCGTCAATACTTCTAAAAATATATAATTTAAGAAAATTTAAAAATGTTAGAGATTTTTCTAAAGTTGCAACTGTACCCTTCCTTAAGATATTCAATAGAGTGGAAGGGAGGGAAAGCTGAGTAAGCGGGTCATAGTGTCTGTAAAGGACGAGGAGTACAGATAGATGGATAGATAACTGGGAGGTATAACACTGATACAATTAGATGTGATCTTAACGCCATAACTCAAGGCTAATCTCGAGGTTAGCGCCGGTTCTAGGGATGGTTCGACCTGCCCTTCCGGTCGAGGCGCGAATCACTTCATTATTCATCCCATTCTGCAGCATTGGTTATCTCACCAACCTACCCGGACGTACCGACCAACCGAGATGCTCACGGTCAGCGGATACCTCACGAATTCTATGGTGTGAATCGGCCACTAAGATTCTCGCAATATCTATCGCTTTGCATTCCACACCTACAACTCGTGTCACGTTATCTACTTACCCATCCGCTTTTGGAATTTGCGATTATCCGGTATTACTTTACCGAAAATGGTTATATTCAAACAATCTCTGATAATTGTTTTCTAATCATTTTATTCCAAATCTTTTATTTTTCATTATCAATTTATTCTTTAAAGTTTATTTTTTAAAAAGAAAAAATTAAAAGAAAGAGAAAAGAATTAGAAGATTAAAAGAGAAGAAAGTTTGATGAAATGGATCAATTCAAGCGAAAAGTTTTGTTTCTATTTATAAACTTTGATGGGATAAAGCAGATGTCATTGTAAATTTTAACTTCTGCTTTGATCACCTTGAACGTGCCGGTCGCAGTAAAAGAGACACTCTTTTTTTTAATAAGTCGTAACTTCATCCGCTATGAAAACGAGAGTCGTAGTAAAGCCTGCTTGAGTCGACCATCTCTTATTGACTGACTTGGTTTATGTACTCTTGGTTTACGATGCCACTAAAGCTGTGGAAGAATTTCTCTATTCTTTAGATTCGAAAATAAAATCTCTAATATCTTCTCTTTCGTTTATTTACATTAATAACTTTCCTTTTTATCATTATTCACTTTTTTCCACACGAAAAATAGACTTTCTTGTTTTCTGTAATAATTGATTTTGAATGTAAAATGTTTCTTTCGGGTGGGAGTTTGAAATATGGAAGTCTTGTCTACTGGAATTAATGGCATTGTAATTGAAATCAGCCGTTAGACGGTGTTGGCTAGGAATATTAGTAAGTGTGGTCTACGAAGGAGACGAGACTAGAGAGAACTAGAGCTCAGAGAGAAGCATTAGAGACTGGGGATGATCACTGAGCGCGAAGCACTAATCAAGACGCATGATTATAGGCCCCAGAGCGCTCCACGGAATCAACTATAGCTACTATAACCCAGGAGGACGCCTTCACATCCTCTAGGATATAGTTATTCGCTCATTCCTCTCCTTCCGACCCTGAGATTACAAGGCCGTGGTTTTTGTCCTCCGGATATCTTCCCTCTCATATTACATTTAGGACTTTACATTCATAGCTATCAAACTTGAAAATACCCTTTGAGTTCTTGTTCACTATAAAAAGGAATATGTTCAACACATTTTTTTTCTTTCCATTTCAAACCTAGATATTATAATCTTCGACTTTAGGTATCGTATTTGCTTCTTCCTCTTTTAATAATATTTTCCGAAGACAAAAATTTTAATCCTCCTTTCTTGTAAACTGTAACAATATCCATCTGCTAGTCTCACAGCCACCCTTGCCAAATTCGCCAGTCCAGAAGTCGCCTACGAATTAACTGACAGTCTTTTTCGAGTTAGTCCAGAAATCGCCGTCAAATCAGATACCTGTGTTCATCGTGTCAGTCTAAGCAACCGCTACTACCAAGTTAACTACACAGGAAAAAAAAGTCTGACCCGTTTACACCTTAAATTCAGCCCATGTATTTCACATAAGTCTGTCCTTGTTTAACGGAGCTGACTCCATTTACACCTTAAATTCCAGCCTCAAAAAGAGGCTGAAAGTAAAACTTTTTTTTTAGTGTGTAGTTGTGTGTCTTTTTCGACTCCAGTCCAGAAAACCTCTTCAAGTACCAAGTGCCTTTTTCGAGTCTCGTCTTAGTCAAGTTCATTCAAGCAGATAATTTCTACTACGAGGCACATTTATATTTTTCTAAGGACTGCACTGCATTACCACGGCATCAACAACGAATAAATAATTCGGTTACTCCAAGTCTGAAGAGTGTTCAATCTAATCTGCATCAACACCTAGAATCAAAACCTTTAAATTTTGGCAGGCCCAAAAGAATTTTAAGGGAAATCTCTTACTGCATTCTCTGATTTCGTTAGTCAAGGTCATTTTCTCGACTTCACACACTCACCAAACACTCTCATAACAAAGCTTATTTAAATTCCGAAATTGATTCTTTACAAATTCAAATTTTGTTTCAGTTTTTCCAATAATTAACACGTAACAATATTTTCTGAAAAAAATCGAAAAAATATGTTTTTTTTACATTGAAACTCTTATATCTCCCTTAATTAATTGGCATGTTTCCTTTTATAAGAAGGACGAACAAATTGCGAAAAAGAATCGAAGGGATGCAACTTACTTTAGAATTCTATTTTAGAATTAATCTATTGACGCTGATTGAATTATCGTTGAAAATTAGTATCTTCGTGCACTCTTAATGAAGTGTAACGTCGACGAAAAGCGTCGTCGATTTAGCAATGCCGCGCGGAAATTTCTCATCGTAACGTCTGGCGTGTGCGCCTTCAGTAGTATTTGAGGTTACTCTAAGCAAGTTAGCACAACCCCAACGTATCGTGTTAAATTATGCTCAGTGCCAACACGTTCCCGTGGAACATGCCGCGGCACACACGACCGTAAGGAACCGTAATCAGCGTAAGCACCTCCGGCATCATGCATTTGACACGAAATCGTCTTCTGCTTCAAATCCTTAATCATCGATGTGAAAACGCTTTCTCTGCCTCCTACAATATTTCTCCAAGTTTCGAACAAACTTTTCTATATGAAAAGTATTTCAATTACAAATTATTTCATTATTTGATTATCTGCAATTAAGTGATATTTTTGAAATCAAAACTAGGTGTAATGACAAGAAAACTACGAGCTATTCATTTTTTCTTGAGAAAAATAACAAAATCTTAATTAAGTGTGGAAAAGTTTGAAAATGAACCTACCATCTTTGAAAGGGAGATAAGTTAAGTTTGATACAAAGAAGGAATTCCACTTGAATAGTGGAGACAAAAAGCAGATAGTTCGTTTCACAAGCGTCGAAGGATCGAATTCGTAATTCGAGGCACCAAAGTAAGAAAGAAAGAGAGACAGTCTTTGTCGTAAAGTTCAGAAGCAAACGGGTCAATTTCGTCAAGTTGAGTAAAGTTCAAATTTCCCCCATCCAAAGACATAATGATAAGATCCATCCGTTTTCATAATAAAACAACTCTCACTTCTTTTCTTTATACCAATTTTTATTTCATTAAAAAAAACATTACAATTTTTAAAAAACTACTATTATTTCTGAAGAAGGTGTTTCAAGACACCTGTGTTTTTTTTGTTTTCTTTTTTGGAACTTGATGTCCCTAATTATAAATGGTGTGGATATTAAATATACAATGAAGCTCAAAGCATGAAATTATTTATACATTCCTGCTAGATATAATAAATATTCTATATTGTTTATGACAAAAATGTAAAATAGTGAATATCGTCAAATGGGGCAATATGTACCAAGGCTTTAGATTTTCTTTCGGAATTTTTATTTTCGTCTCTTTCTATGACCGGTTTTCTTAAATCGAAAATAACGAAAACAATTTACGAAGATCGGTCAACGAAAAAAGTCATCAATAATAAAAATTTTGAAATAAAACCTAAAGTTCTGTTACTTATTACACCAATTTGATGGTATTTTAAAAAAAGAAGGAGGTATTATAAATTGTGAGCTTGCCTATTTTATACTTTTTCTAAAAGCAATCGCACAGTTTTTTAATTCTTCAAACCTTTTACCATTTTCTTAATTATTAGACGAGTGATAATTATGAGTTAAACTGATAATATGATCCAGTGCTTAATTTATTAGATACTCGGTAAAATTAGACAATTTATTAAAGTAGACAATTAAGTCATTAAACTAGACAATTTAGGCATTATATTAAACAATTGATTGCTTTTTTCTTCCACCTTTGATTCGAAAATTTAGTTTCTAAATATTCAGAAATTTTTTTTTTTTTTTTGAAACAATGAAATTTACTCTATTTAATATTTTCTAAATAAACTAAAAATTTTTCCCTACATGAAAAAAATTGATTTTATTTTCCCAAAATTAACGGGAATTAAAATTATCAGAATTGAAAAAGCACAAAAGGGATTAACTTAAAAATTTAAGTGTGAAAAAATATCGCATAAATATATGTGTGATATTATTCTTATGAATTTAATGAGACTGGTTAAAAATTAATGTTCCTTATTAAGAATTAGAGCCAATTTTTTATCCTGCTCGTTCATGTCTTTATCGTCCCATCCCCATACAGTTTCATCGGTAAGATCGGGTTTATTGTCATCGATAAATTGACTATTTCTTGTACCATCGCCAGTTCTTAATGCTCGTTTATTGATCATACTCACTGGAACTGTTTTTAAATCATAGGCAAGACCTAACCACGCAAAAAAGTCTATAAAAGCAGTTGGTGTATTTGTTTTATAATTTCCCAATTCAGAACTCTTGTAGTCCCATGGGAATACGTGATGATAATTGTGCCATCCTTCTCCAACAACAGCAACAGCGAGTGCCAAATTATTTCTGGCTGTCATTGTTCTGAAATTTTTTAATTTGTTTTTTAATTGATTTTTAAGTGCGGTAATAAATTTTGTTTTTTTGAAAAAGAGAAAAAAAAATTGACTCACTGATCGTATGGTCTGGCACCCCACATGTGAGCGCCTGAATTAATCAGCCACGTTAAATGTGTACTCCAGAGGAATTTTGAGACGGACATGTGGTAGGCATCGAACCATGTTTCTCCGCAAACATAGTGAACGACCATTGATGGTATCGTGAAGCAGAAAACTCCAACCATTGGTAGGTAATATCTGTTGGAAATATTACGAAATAAAATTATTAATCTCTTAAAATTTTTCACTGCAAAATTATAGAATTAGCCAGTTAGTGCTGAATTTTTTTTTTAATACTATTTTATTTTTTACAGTGATTTTCCTTTTAGATGCCGCTATAGCGGTCATACACATTGGTGGCACGAATTATTTTTGCCTCTATAGACGTCAAACACAGTAAAGGGATTAAGGGGTTAAGCCACCCTGAACGCATTTAAATTAGACGGTTTTTTAAGAATTTCTTTTTGAAGAACATATTTGAGATAAGACATTTTTATTTTTATTTTAGTTTATTTATTTATTTATTTTTTATTTTTTTTTTATTTATTTTTTTTTATTTTTATTTATTTTTTTTTATTTTTTTATTTTTTTATTTATTTATTTATTTTTTTTATTTATTTATTTATTTTTTTTTATTTTTATTTTTTTTTATTGTTTTGTTATACACATTGTAAGCTATGTAAATACGAAATAGTTTTTAAAGAAATTAAAAATGGCGACGCTTTTCAGTGCAGCAGTACATTTTTTAGTGGTGGGCATGATTGGCATTTCAATTTTTATCTGAAACAACTAAAAAAGCATTTTTTCTAAAAAGTGATAAATTTTGAACATTCTGACGTAGCCATTATGAAAAAATTTTTTTATTTTTTTTCCATAAAAATTACATTAATTTTACACACGTAGTCCAGCATATTGTATCTGCATAGGCGTAGCTAGGCAGGGGCCAGGGGGGCACGCCCCCCCCGGAATTTCTCCGGGCCCCTCTGAAGAAATGACATAAATATTAATAAAAATTAATACATTTAATGTATAGGGCTAAATTTTAGTTAAATTTAGTGCCTGGAAAAACATTTTTCGAAAATTTAACATTTAGCCCCCTTGTCCCTCATAAATATATATACCTATCAGAATATGCACATCGGGACCGTGCCCCCCTACCCAAAAGTTCTAGCTACGCCTATATGTGTATCCGCCATTTTGAATTTTTTAAATCTGACTTTAATTTCGTAATTAGGCACCCCAAAAACGCTGGAGAAACAAGCTTTATGCAAATTTGAGAAATTTTGAAAAAAATGGCAGCCATTTTGAATTTTTAAAATTTGACTTTATATTTGTAATTAGCGATCCTGAAAACCCCAGAGTCACAAATACCATAAAAATTAAATTGATTTTACACATATCAACCACTATATTGAATCCGCCATTTTGAATTTTCAAGAACTGACACTTGACATTTAAATGCATTCCTTTTTACCTAAATTTTAAGCCTATGGTCGGCAATTTAAACTTAAACCACTTTTTGGTGAGCAGGGGGATCCCGTTGATAAAGAATGTCTCAAGAAAATAAATTGTTTCTCATTATATTCTTTATTACTATTAAGTATTAAAAGCTGATTTAAGAAATTTGCAAAAAATATTTTAATCCCTAATTATAAATAAAAACGAATTAACATTAACTTGATATAATTTAAAGACTGAGAAAAATGGAGGGTTGAACTTAGAAAGTTAGGTTATGAGTGTTGGCCTGATTCTCTGGGTAGTTAACTTTTCCCTCTGAGATAGTCAAATTAATCATCAGAGTGTATATTCAACCCTCTAGATGGTTGTCGTATAGTTTAACCTCAAATATAGTCTGTTTGTTCCTCCAGATAGTTAGTTCAACTCTTCATTATTTCCCGTGAAGTAACAGTTTACAAAAATTTCAATTTTATAAAATGTACAGACAACAGTCTAATCTTATTTATAACATAAGAATTATGAAAATCTTGCAAACGTATACGGATCACATTTGATAACAAAATTTAAAGTAAATAAATAATAGAAAAAATAAATGCAACAAAGGCCGTAGCAGTATAAGCATGTAAAAAGTGCCCCCTCTTGGATTGGGTCCATATTTAGGGAATAATTTTGACCTATTATGAGACTTATTTTCACCAAGTTTCAACTCGAAAAAAAATTTTGTTTTTGAGTTATACAATTTTTTTTGAAAAATTCAAAAAAATTCAAAAATTTTTTTTCCCTCCAAAATGGTTGAACCGATTTTCATGAAAAAATTTTTTTTGTACAATACAATATTAACAGTTAATAAAAAAAAATTTTCGACCAAATTCTAACAAAGAAAGACAGTAAAAAGTCAGTAAAAAAAAATTTTTTTTTTATTTTTTTTTAAAAAACATTTTTTTTTTATTGAAATTTTTTTTGCACCACCGCCATTTTTTTTCTATAAAATAATAGTCATTTCAAGAGTAACATATATTTTTTGCAAGATGATTGAAAGGGTACTTCATACTTTAAAAAATAAAAAACCGATTTTTGGCCCCTAAATAGTACAGTTTTCTATATAAACGAGGGGCCAACATTTTTTAAAATTACATTAAAAATTAATTAATACTTAAATTAAATTTCTAAAAAAGTTAATAATATATGCCTGTTTATTGTAAATATTGATTTTTTATAGTATGTACAAGGTTAATTAAAAAAGTAAATGGACGTACACTACCGTCGGGAATTACCGGTACGGCTGCACGCGCACGGCCCAAAAACATGTCAATCACTGAGAAAACGATTTATTTGATTCAAAAAAATTTTGTTTAAATCAAACTTAAAATATCTTTGCTATACAGTCAAACAAATTTCAGTTTAATTTAAACATATTTTTTGGTTCATTTATAGAAATAATATATTCAATATTCAAACAAAATTTATGGTTGATTTTAAATTATTTCTAATCAACATATAAGTTTGGATCAAACATAACATTTTTAAACATATTCTTTGTTTAAACCAAAACAGAAAATATATTTGAATTAAACACAATTATTCAAACAAATATTATTTTTGAATCAAAGCAGTAGATATTTTCTATATATATTGGGATCTCACAAACCGATTAAGATTTTAAAACTCTTTTGGTCTTAAGTTAAAGATAAAACTTAAACCTATGTAAATTTCAAATTTTTTCTACAATTACTAAAAAATATGCCAAAGTTGAAAAAACTTCAAGTGATTGACATGTTTTTGGGCCGTGCGCGTGCAGCCGTACCGGTAATTCCCGACGGTAGTGTACGTCCATTTACTTTTTTAATTAACCTTGTACATACTATAAAAAATCAATATTTACAATAAACAGGCATATATTATTAACTTTTTTAGAAATTTAATTTAAGTATTAATTAATTTTTAATGTAATTTTAAAAAATGTTGGCCCCTCGTTTATATAGAAAACTGTACTATTTAGGGGCCAAAAATCGGTTTTTTATTTTTTAAAGTATGAAGTACCCTTTCAATCATCTTGCAAAAAATATATGTTACTCTTGAAATGACTATTATTTTATAGAAAAAAAATGGCGGTGGTGCAAAAAAAATTTCAATAAAAAAAAATGTTTTTTAAAAAAAAATAAAAAAAAAATTTTTTTTTACTGACTTTTTACTGACTTTCTTTGTTAGAATTTGGTCGAAAATTTTTTTTTTTATTAACTGTTAATATTGTATTGTACAAAAAAAATTTTTCATGAAAATCGGTTCAACCATTTTGGAGGGAAAAAAAATTTTTGAATTTTTTTGAATTTTTCAAAAAAATTGTATAACTCAAAAACAAAATTTTTTTTTGAGTTGAAACTTGGTGAAAATAAGTCTCATAATAGGTCAAAATTATTCCCTAAATATGGACCCAATCCAAGAGGGGGCACTTTTTACATGCTTATACTGCTACGGCCTTTAGCATTAAAATAGTTGGGAACAGCTTTTTTATAGGTCGCTCATTACGAATCCAATGCTAGTTTTTCAAAATTCAAAATGGCGGATCTAATATGGTGGAAGATTTTTTAAAAATTGATCCGTTTCGCTTAAAAATTGCTACAAAAGGGTTTTCAGGGCCGCTGATTACGAATCCGATTTATTAAAAAAATTGTTCCAATTCGCTTGAACCTTGCTACAATGGGGTTTTCAGGATCGCTGATTAGGAATACGATGTTGGTTTTTAGAAATTCAAAATGGCGGATCCAATAACCCAGCACCACGTAATATTACAGCAATATTGAGAACACTGCCTTAACATTACCAATATTGCCTCAATGTTGTCAATGTTACTGGAACATTACATGCTACTGGGGTATGGTGGAAAATTTTATTGAAAATTGTTCCAATTCGATTGAAACTTGCTATACATTTTTCTTAATTGATCCTATTTGCTCGAAACTTGTTACTGAGTGACGCACACGGTAAAAAGTTGTTCCTGATAATTTTTAGTTATTGCTTACATCCCAGATAGCACGCAAGCTTGCTGCAAACTTGCAGCAAACTTGCACTGCAAATTTTGCAAAATTTCAGTGCAAGCTTTCTGCAAGTTTGCAGCAAGCTTGAAATGTCTGGACTGCTGCAAACTTGCACTGCAAGCTTGCAGCAAGTTTGTGGAAAGTTTGCACAGCAAGCTTGCTGCAATCTTGCTGCAAAGTTGCAAATTTTTTTTATATATTCATAAAAAATTCTGCTTTTTGTACCTTTTTAAAATTCAATAAAATTAAAATTATTTGCAAAAAAAGGTAAAAAAAACATAATTTTTTATGCATACAAAAAAATTTTGCAACTTTGCAGCAAGGTTGCAGCAAGTTTGCTGAAAGCGTTCTACAAACTTGCTGTGCAAACTTGCTGCAAACTTGCAGTGCAAGTTTGCAGCAGTCCAGACATTTCAAGCTTGCTGAAAACTTGCAGAAAGCTTGCACTGCAATCTTGCAAAACTTGCAGTGCAAGTTTGCAGCAAGCTTGCGTGCTATCTGGGATGATAATTTCCTTTGGTGATTGAAGTTTAAGATTAGAGATTTAATTTACATGAACTCTTGACAATGCACTTACTTCTTTTGAAACATCACAACGGGTTCCTTTTTAAGATCACTGATATCAACAGTAGCGCCCTTTCTCTTCACATCGGGATGTTTTCTAACCATCAGCCATCCCATATGAGAGAAGAAGAAACCCCTCTTTGAATTGTGTGGATCAGCATCAGTATCGACGAATTTATGATGTACTCGATGATCTCTCACCCAGCCGTAGATATGACCCTTAAAGAATAAAATTGATACAATTACTTTAATTTCAATAATGCTTGCAAAAATAATTACTTTTCTCAGGAAATATATTAAAAATTTAAAATAGTTGTTTAAATGAACTAGATAGCATAACTTCTTACATATAACTTAATAATATTCAAAATTTTTTAAGAGTGACAAATGAGAAGGAATTTTAAATTTTAAACAGTGACAAACTAGAAAAAATTTGAAATACTTTAGGGTAATAAAAAATATTTTATTTTTTGTATTATTATTATTATCATAGAGGATGTGCTTTAAACGATTGTAGTTATTGTTTGTTATTGTGTCCATCGCGCTTGTCATCCGTCCCTATCTAATGGAGAGTGATGTCCGGTGAACGTCATAAGTCCTTGAGTTAAAAAGCTTTGATTTTTAACGAGATTGATTGAACCGTGCATCTCGTTTAAATAAAGCCTCGACAGTTAATGAAGTTACTTTACCTGATATCCTATTGTCTGAAGGCACATCATAATTATTTTCATTGGCAACTTGGCCTTGTAAGCTCTGTGACTCCAAAGTCTATGGCAACCGGCTCCCGTTCCCAATCCAGTCAAAACAACAAATCCGTACACTGTAAATGACAAAAATAGTCAAAATTATTTTCTTTTCATTATTATGTTATTCCCCAAAATCGTTTTATTTTTCCACAATTGTGAATTTATTTAAAAACAAGTTTAATAAAACGCATTTGCTTCGTTTTTTGATAAGAGAATGGCTTTAAATAATAATATATATTAAATAAGTAATTAGTAAGTAAATAATTAATAAGAAAATAATTAATTAAGAATTAATTTTTTATCAATATTATCATTTAGGATATGTGATAAAAAATTTGAAGTAATCAAAAAATGACCAAAAATTTCTAAGAAATGACAGTTTAAATTTTGACTGGGGCACCAAAACACCCCCGTTAGGTATTCTGGGGTTAAATATTAAATTATAGTTTTATTGTTTTTTTAATTATTAATTAAGTATTATACTTCAAATATAATAAAATTAATATACATTATAGTTGAAAATGATGTACATAGGGGTGAGTGGGGCAAATAGGCGCTATGCGGGGCAAAGACGTTTTTTAAAATATCTCCTTTATTTTCTGTCTATTCCAATTGGTATTAAAAGTTAAGTTGCAATGCAATCAGACCAATTGATTAAAAAAAGAAAAACCTAAAAATATCAAATATTTTAAGAAATATAACAAAAAAATTGTTTTGCAAAAATAAAATGATAATTTTACTGAACAAACTTTTATTTTTTAAAACATAAGTTTAAGTATTTAATTTTTAAAAACGTAACATGTAAATAAATTAAATATTTCTCTACACAACTGGCGTGGTGTTTTAGTTTAATTTTGCATCTAAATATTTTAAATTTAAAGTAAAAAAAAAGTTTGTTATGTGGGGCAAAGGCAATATTGAACATAATTTGGTTAAAAACAATTGAATATTCGAATTTTCTATGTATTAATTCACAATATAAGGTTAAAATCACTAAAAGTTTTTATTTTTTATTTTAATAGTCCAATTCTTTTAATAATAATTATGTAGTTAACCTTATGTTTCGTAAATATTATACTAATAAATATCACTTATTAATTTTTTTAAGGCTTATAAATGCTTTCTTTTAGAAATATAAGCGAAAACGTCGCTGCCCCAGCGTGTGGGGCAAAGGCATTTTTTGCATTGTTTTTAAATTTCATTAAATAATGTATTTATAATTATAATATACTAAATAACAACTATTAAAATTTCTTGTTGATTAGTTTTAGAATAATGAGAAACAAAGACCGCATAAATTATTTGCTTAATTTAAAAAATATACATCGATAAATGTAAACCTAGAGCCTTTGCCCCATTCTCCCCTATATTAATTATTTACTTATTTAAAATTGCAAAACCTAAAACAGTAGTATAACCCGTGTAGAATTTGCCTTAAGTAAATTTTATTTGTGGTTTGGCCCTGATCAGGGTTTGATCTGGTTCCAGGTTACTTCAAAAAAGGGGTTATATAATTTATTGTCAACACATTAAGCCACATTCAATTATTTAAAATTCATTTTACGTCAGTTTAAGCAAAAATGAAAAAGTTCCACTGAAAATAAGTAATAATTAATTAAAATGTATACGAAGAAAAGTTCAAAAAGAGTAAAAAGACATAGATTCATACAAGAATTAAATAAATATTTTGCAAATTAGCTTTTTTTAAATATTTTATAAACAACATAATTTATATAACGAAATTAAATTTTTTGAAGCGGATTCTAATGAAACTGGAAAATATGTTTTTTCTGAATCTGAAGGTACGAATATAATATTCTAATTCTAATTCCAAACAATAAAACAATATAACTTGACATTTTGTTGAAAAATTGTAATTAATTAAAAAAATATAAATTTTTTTCTTTTTAAAAAAAACTTAGAATTTTTAAAAAAATTATGATTTGTAAATAGAAATTATGCAAATAATTTTCTTTTTTTTTACTAAAATTTGCTTAATTTTCTATATTTTTTTAGAAATAAAAAGAAAAAAATCTGCATAATTTTGATTTCTTAAACATTTTTTAACAAAATTTTAGTTTTTATTGAAAAGAAATAAAACAATTTCCATCATTCACATTTATCAATTACAGGGTTTGATCAGAAAAAGTGTTTCATTTCCGATGCAGGGCCCTATTCAACCTGATCAGGGCAGAATGACTACCACGCTTCAATTTCTACACGGGAAACTGTATCAATTATTATTATTCATTGTTATTATTTTTATTATTATTGTTTTAATTATTACACAGGACCACAAAAATTTTTTAAAGAAAGTATTGACCGGACTATGTTTTTTATATGTTTTGTGGGTCGCTAAATTCGAATCCGAACTCAGTTTTCCCTTTTCCGCCATCACGTCAAGTTTCTTCACAAATTAATAAAATTCGAAAAAAAACTGACTGTAAACAAGATTTAAATAAAAATAAGCAGAAGATTCTATTAAAAAACAACTTTAAAACACTGAAAAAATATTATATAATGTTAAACAATCAAAGAAACTCGTAAATATTCAAAATTTAAGATGGCCGATCCAATATGGCGTCGATTTATTTAAAATTCACCCAATTCGCCTGAAACTTGTTACTCGGAGGTTTTTGGGGTTGCTAAATACGAATTTCACCTCAGTTTTAAAAAATTCAAAATGGCGGATCCAATATGGCTGACCAATTTTTAAAAAAATTATTGGATTTACCTGAAACGTTATACTCGGGGGTTTTCGGGGTCGCTAAATACGAATTTCACCTTAGTTTTCAAAAATCCAAAATCTGAGAAATTTTTAAATAATTCGTTAGCCATATTGGATCCACCATTTTGAATTTTTTAAAACTAAGGTGAAATTCATATTCAGCGACCCCAAGTAACAAGTGTCGAATAAATCTGGTAATTTTTTTAAAAATACGTCAGCCATATTGGATCCGCCATTTTGAATTTTTAAAAACTAAGGTAAAATTCGTATTCAGCGACCCCAAGAACCCCCGAGTAACAAGTTTCAGGCGAATTGGGTGAATTTTAAAAAAATCGACAGCCATATTGGATCCGCCATTTTGAAGAAACTTGACGTGATGGCGCAAAACTGAGTTCGGATTCGAATTAAGCGACCCAAGAAACATATAAAAAACATGGTCCGGTCAATACTTTCTTTTAAAAAAATGTTGTGGTCCTGTGTTATCAATTTTAACTTTCAACTAACTTTCTAAAAATTAAGTTTTTAATTCTACACAAAACAAGAGATTAATATAAATAAAATCCAGTTTTTCTTACAAAAGTAATTAACATTAACTGTGTTTTGCAATAATAAAGATTACCTACTTTTTCTACAATAATTCATAAGTAACTATTTTTATACTTATGATGTTTCGGTTGTTTGGATTTAGAAATTTCAGTTTAGATGTACTATAACTATTTTTATATTTCAGAATGTTAAATTAAATTATTTTTAATTCAAAACAATTTTATTTGATTAACTTTTGTCAAATTCAAGTAATCTTAAAATTATTGAATTAGAATTTCATTAATTGAAAAATCCAAATTATTTGAAAAGAAAAATTATTAACAAAATTATAGGAAATAAAAAATCAATCGAAAATAACTAACTTCAAACTTTGAACAGATATTCAGAACAAGAAGATTATTAACTTAGATTATTATTATTATTTTTTTTTATTTTTTTACTGTTTATTATTATTTTTATTACTATCATTTATTACTATACTATTATAGTTTAAATAAATTTGTCAAGATTGTTTGTAATAAATTTGTATTACCTAAATTAAAATAAATTTTTAAAAGTTTTTGGAAATTTAAACATATTTATCTTTTAGATATTTTTAAAGATATTTATACTTAGAAGAGATTAAATTAGAATAAACTTCCCGATATTTTTTGTAAATTCCAAAATAATTATTTGACGTATTTAAAAATATTTGTATTCAGAAGGTACTCACTGATTAATGGACTCAAAATATGAGCTTTCGTGCACATGAGATACATGCCGTAGAGTCCAGCCAAATGAAAGTATCCCAATATAGCAACTCTGTTCCAAACTAATTGCATTTTAAAGTCACTTTTTTTTAAATCACTTTTTTGTTTCTCTAAAACTGCCTCCGATTTCATGTTGTCCGTTGTTTTATAGGCGGTTCCTTCCAAAACCTTTCCACTCGGAGTGGGCGTCATTTTTCCTAAAATGAAAAATAAGAAAAAAAAATACATTTTCAATATTTTTAGTAAAAATATAGAAATTTCAAAGAAAAAAGTACGAATATTTAGTAGTTAATTAAAAAGAGAGAGAGAGAGGGAAAGAATTAAACTGTAATTTAACACAAAAGTTTCATAGAGCACTAGTAAAAGAATATCACAAAAATTCCGGAGAAATGGATATAGAAAATATTTTTAAATCACCTAAACTAGAATTAGTGGATGACGAAAAAAACTTTACACTTGGGAAAAAACTTGAATTTTGATTTATTTTTTGTTAAAAGTTGTAAATGTAAATATTCATAATCTCGTTGACTTTATTATTTTAAACTAAACACGAATTAACATCAATTGTGCACAATTTTAAGTAGATTTTGCCTAAATTTTCGAAAGAAACAATTTGACGTCACATGAGAGAGGAGCAGAGGTTTAAACTGACAGCCAGTGCAGGATGTCAGCGATTGTGGACCATACCCTCCTTCGTGTACTGAACCAATATTCCCCCTTCGTTTTGTATCTCTCAACGAGGATCCATTGAATTAATTAAAATGTTACGTTTATTGCTATTGAAATACTTACCCAATATTCCCTTGCAATTTTAATATAATCGTATGGACTCTGAAATTTTCAGCGCAATGAAACATTTAGTTCACCGTCTAAATAAACTCTGATTCAATTAGAGAGAAACTCGTCTTCTCTATTCATTTTAGCTTTTGTCATCTCGTTCTTCAACTTAGCAATGCAAAGTGAATGATCGACTATTTTCGGTGGAGAATGATTTATTACTTTGCTCTCTGAGGTTGCAACATTCATTCATATCGCGCGAGTGCAATGGAATTATTTTTACAAAAAGAAATTTTTTTTCGTGTAATTTCATTTTTATATTTATTAATTAATTTACATATTTACAATTAATTAATCTAGATAAATCTTTCTTCTGAGGAGTTTAATTTTTCAATAAATCATATCATTCTTTTCGGATTTATAATTTAATATTATTATTATAAATTATAATTTAATTATATAAATATAATTTTTTATTTAATCCAAATTAAATAATTTACAATTAAATTAAATTTATTTAAGTGATCATTATATAATAATAATAATAATCATCAAGATATTCTGTCTTCACGTGAAGTTAGGGCTCTTTGATTCTAAATTATTTTATAGTTTAAATTCTGATGTCAAAAATTTACCAATTAATTTGTAAATAGAGTAATTAGTGTTTTAGTGAAATTAAACCCCCTAGAATTTTTACAACAACAGGATTTTCACAGGACAAGAAAATCTAAGTTAAGTAAGGAAATTTTATTCGAAGTATTCGAAAAATAATATTAATTTCGAACTTATCACTCGGTGGTATTTGAGAGGTCTTGTAACTTTTTTAGGCCTCAAAATTGGAAGTTTTTTAAAAAAAATTTTTCTGATAAATTTTAAAATATAATGGATCATAAGTTTTTACATGTCATTGTGTATGTTAAGAAGTCTTAAAAAAAGAATTTCAAATTTGGAAAAATATAAGTATCCTCCTTCTACAGAGGGCGCTTTTTACTCTGGTAAAAATTACTAGTTGTTATTGTAGCTCATAGCAGAATCATCAGAAATAAAAAAATCAAATTTCATTCCAAAATGGACTACTTAATAAAGGTCCTAAATCTCTGGTTTACTACTAAAATATTTAAAATTACATTTTTGTAATTAATTTAAGGAAAAAAAATTTTTGTTTCTTCAGATTTTTTTATTCAAAAGCTTGCCATTTTCTTAATTTTTTTATGTTTTTGAGTATTCCGAGGTTTAGGACCTGTATTAAGTCGTCTATTTTTAAATTATGTTTGACTTTTTATTTTAGATGATTCTGATATGAGCTACAGTGACAACAGTAATTGAAAGTAAATTTTTTAAAATCTTTAGATTTTAGAGCTGAAAAAGTTACAAGACCCCTTAATAATATTGATGATTTTGTCGATCGATTATTATTGATGATCTTTATCAATTTGATATTCTAAAAATATCAATTAATTAAAAATCTTAAATAGTCTATGAATTTTTTTTCTCAATTAAAAAAAACACCCATAAATAAAGGTTACAATTCTTTTATGACTTATTTTTGTATTTAAATAATTTAATTCTTGTTTATCTTTTTGATAACAATTGATTTGAAAAAAAGTTTCAGTCAAAATTTTAGAAAATATTTAAAGAATTGAAAGAATTGCAGTTCTAATTTTTAGAAATAATTAAATTTCAAAAGGTTTTATATTAAAAGCATTTTAAAGAATTAAATAAAATAAATTAAATTTTAAAAGGTTTTTAAATTGAAATCGATTTCAACAATTTAATCGTCTTAAAAGTTTAATAATATTTAAATGTTTATTTAAAAAAATTATATTATTTTTCTTCAAAAATTATTAAATTTTTGAATAATTTTATTCAAAAGTTGAAAAAAATAATAGAATTTTGGAAAAATTGTAGTAGTAATTTTCAAAAATAATTAAATTTAAAAAGGTTTTACTAAAAAATTTTGGAGGCAAGTATCAAATTTGGTTTCTTTTCATCAAATTAAAGCTTTTTTTATTAAGTAAAAGCTTTTTCCACAACATGGAGGTACTCAGAACTTTGTTAGAATTTATTTCTGATTCAGAAAAAATTTGTATCTTGAAAAACGACGCTGTTCTTGCGACAATTCTTTTTAAAAATTTTTGTAGGCGATTATCAAATTTGCGCTTTTTTCATTAAATTGGAGCTTTTTTTTATTAAAGAAGAGCTTTATCCGAAACACGAAGGTACTCAGAACTTTTTTAGAATTTATTTCCGATTAAGAAAACATTTGTGACTGTCCACGAGAAAACAAGGCTTAGGTCCAAAAAATCAATTTTGATTTTTTTATGGTAATCGACAGATTTTATGTTGCTTTTTCAAATGCAAAAGTCAAAAGTTAAAAATATCAATTACTTTCGACAATATATCGTTTTAAAGATGGGTATGTTAAGCGTAGTTAACCTCAATCGTTGACTCTCCACGATAAAACACGGCTTAGGTCGAAAAAATCAATTTGAGTTTTTTATGGTAATCGACAGATTTTATGTTGCTTTTTCAAATGCAAAAGTCAGAAGTTAAACTTCAATCGCTCGCCCTGTGAAATTTACGTTTGGGAGCTAAGCCTTGTTTTCTCGTGGACAGTCACATTTGTGTTTTGAAAAACGACGTTGGTCCCCAAGTCGAAAAATTCCATAGAAGTTCTCCGTGGAATTTCCGTGAATATTCAATGGAAATTTATTTAAAATTTATTTGCAAAACTTGATTTAAATACGCATTTTGCAAAAAAAAATCTTATTACTAGACTCTAATCATAATAGAACTTTTCAAATATTATTAAAATAAAAAACTTGCAGAATTTCCATTGAATATATCAATGAAAATTGCATGGAACAAAGCTTCTTATTAGACTCTAATCATAATAGATGTGTTAAAATAATATTAAAACAAATTTTTCGACATGAGGTTTTTAAGTAATTTTATTTAGAAATTCTAAGAAAAACAATATTTTTACAAAATGTTAATTAAATTTTTTTTTGAAGATCATTGAATTTCCGAAAATAATTTAAAAAATGGAAACAACTAAAATTTTTGTTAAATTTCATATTGAAATAAATTTTATATTTGAAATAATTTAATTTTATTACTTTTAAAAATTCTTTTGAAATATAATAATATTTTTGAAAAATTGTATTTCGAAAATTTTTATTTTTTTTAAATAATAAATTTATATTAAATTTCAAGAAGAAAGTTTTTGTAATTAACAATGGGTATTGAAAATTTCACGTGCGCTTGTAGTTGTGCTAGTTTATAAATAATTTATAATTATGTTTTTCTAGAGAATTTTTTATAATACTTTTGTAACTAAATTTTTGGTTACATTTTAATTTCAACAATTTATGTTTTCAATTTGTTTTCCTATCGAATTTCTTTGCTAGTGATTTCTATTCGTTTGATAAATTTCAAGATGAAATCTGTAAGTGACGTTTTTTGCATATACGTAAATCACATTGGCAATATCAATATACGTGAGATGGACTCTTGAGGTGGAAAAATGTCAAAGAAGTAGAAGAAGAAGGAAAAAAACATGAAGATGGCAAAGCGAAGTCAAAGATACTTTTGAGATCAGTCAAAAGTCGAGAGTCAACCCCCCTCAAACAAGTGAAGGAGCCAAACCTCATTTCCATATGAGATCGAACCATTTAGCGCAAACATTTCTTCCATTCGCTAAAAGCTCTGGGTCCAAAAAAAAACTTACGTCGTCGTCATAGCATCTAACTTACAATTTAAATAAAAGCAAATACACATAGACTCCATTGGAACTGGATTTTTTTTCTTTTCCCAGCACTTTCGTTCTCAATTTTTTTCTTTTTTTTTTTTTTGATACTCGTTTTATAAATGTGCGCGAAAAAGTTTCAATGGATTTCAGAATAAAATCACAAGGCGAGAATAGATTTTCTTGTGCATAGAAATTTCTTCTTCTCCTTCTTCTGAGGTGAATCAAAGAGGGGATTGGTGAAGGTTTTATTCACACATTTTCTGAATAAAGTCGTTTTAGAGATGAACTTCGGGAAAGAATCTCGAAAGAGACTTTGTTAAATTTCGTGTGTTTTTGCCGAAAAGAAAATATATAGAAGAATTGAAACATTAATTTATTGATTACAAGCCCCTTTCTTTGCACAGGACGCATTTATTTTCATAAAGAATCATGTGTACTTAATGCTTCCGACACGTACAATAGAGGGTTATACTTATCACGACCATATACACAGCTAATAAAAAAAGCCGCTTACATATAGATTTTGATATCTCTGTTAATGTATCAGTTTTTACGCCATCAAATTTCTAAGTCAAATTTTTTTCTGAATTTTCTACTTTATCTTATTTAATATCTTCAATTAATAATTTCATTATTTTAATTATTCAGTTAATTATTTTAATTCATGGTTTTGTGATTTTAATTAATAATTAAATCATTATAATTAATGTTTTAGTCAATTTAATTAATAATTAAATCATTTTAATTAATATTTTAGTAATTTTTTCTAACAGTTAAAATATTTTTATAATTAATTTTACAATTTTAATTTATAATAACTAAACAGGAATTATTAATTAGAAATAAATTATTGATAATTAATAGTAATTACTAATAATTGTTAGAAACTAACAAATTTTTCCAAATTTTAATAACTCACTAAATCAATAATTTTTTAATAAATTTAAGAGGCGCATGAAAAGTCTCCAATTTTTATTTTCCGAATCTTTATTTTATCGAAATTCTTTTTATCTAATAAGAATTAATTATAATTTCTTTTAATCAAAAGAATAATTGTCAAAAACATTATTTTTATGAATGACTAATTAACAGAATGTTTCATACTGCGAAAGAAAATTTTTTATAATCTTCAAATAACTGAATTATCATTTCTAAAAATTATTAT